GTAGGTTATATCTGACTGACAGATGTTTTGTTTGGTTTGCGTGGTGTTTTAGGAAATTGCCATTAAAAAATCTATATATTTAGCAAGTAGACCATTATTTTCATAAGGGAATGATCAGCAAGAGCTGAGAAGCACAAGTGTACATTGTGGAAAATGCATTATATTCCTAGTTTTCTTTAGTCCCGTCCACTTCCTATGATCTCACACTCAATGTAACTCTGACTTATCTTTTACCTATTGCTATGGTTTCCATGCAGCCCCTCCAAAACTCAGGTGTTGAAAATTAATGGCCAATGTAATGGTATTAAGATGTGGGGTTTTTAAGAGGTGTTTAGGCCAGAAGAGTTGCTGTTTTGTGAATGAGGTTTATGTGCTTACAAGAGGCTTCATGGGAAGGTGGATCGCTTCAGCCCAGAAGTTTGCGACCAGCCTGGGTAACATAGTGAGACCCTATCTCTAAGAAAAATAAACAAAAATTAGCTGGGAATTGTGGTGAGTGCCTGTAGCCCTAGCTACTCAGGAGGCTGAGGGGTAGATCACTTTAGCCCAGGAGGTCAGGGCTGCAGTTGTGCCACTGTGCTCCAGCTTGGGGGACAGACCAAGATTCTGTCTCAAAATAAATAAGTAAGATAAAAGAGGCCTCATGAAGCGTTCAGCCTGCTTACCTTCTGCCTTCTACCATGTGAAGCCACAGTGTTTCTCTCCTCAGGAGGATGTGGCCCATACCAAACAAATGAACCTGCCAGTGCTGCAATCTTGGCCTCCCAGCCCCAAGAACTGTGAGAAAATAAATTGCTGTTCTTTATAAAAGATGCAGTTTTGGCCAAGCATGCTGGCTCACGCCTGTAATCCTAGCACTTTATGAGTGGTGGTCAGATTATTTGAGACCAGGAGTTTGAGACCAGCCTGGGCAATGACATAGTGAAACCCTGTCTCTACAAAAATACAAAAATTAGCTGGGTATGGTGGTGCATGCCCTAGTCCCAGTTACTTGGGAGGCTGAGGTCAGGGGAATGTTTGAGCCTAGGAGGTCAAGGCTGCAGTGAGCTGTGAAACTGCCACTGCACTGTAGCCTGGGTGACAGAGCTGAGACCTGACCTCAAAAACAACAAAAACACACACACACAAAAAGATGGAGAAGAAGGGTATAGAGTAGGTAGGGTAGTATGCTTTTGGTAGAGCTGTTATAGAGAATGAAATGAAAAGGAAGGCCAGAGATAACCAGTGAGTCAACAACACCAACAGCCAAAAAGCAAAAAAAGGAATGGAGATGCGAAAAGGCACTTAATGTTCAACAGGTCCAAGGTCCAAGAGTACCTGAAACTTGTCACTCTTCCAGTGTTTCTTGGCTCAGGGAATGGTACCACTGTCCAAGTTTTGGTGGTTAGAAATATAGAAGGCATTCATGATATCTGCCTTCCCGATGTTCGTTATCCAAATCTTCACATAGGCAACAGCCACAGGAAAAAGCACGTCAAGTAGAGGGAACCACATATCCAATGCTCCTATGTTGAAAGAAAACATGGTGCATTCCAGAGAGTAAAGACCTTTTATTTCAAAATAGAACAAGGGGCTAGATCATGAAGGGTCTTATAGGACACATTAAAGATTTTGTTCTTTGTCCTGAGAGCAATGAAAGCTATTGACTTAAGGTCTGAAGCAAGGTAAGAGAGATGATCAGATCTAGGTTTTTTGTTTTGAGACAGTTTCACTCTGTCGCCCAGGCTGGAGTGTACTGTTGTGATCTCGGCTTGCAGCAACCTCCGTTTCCCAGATTCAAGGGATTCTCTCACCTCAGCCTCCTGGGCCTACAAGTGCATGCCACCACGCCTAGCTGATTTTTGTATTTTTAGTAGAGATGAGGTTTCACCATGTTGGCCAGGCTGATCTCCAACTCCCAACCTCAGGTGATCTGCCCGCCTTGGCCTCCCAAAATGCTGGGATTACAGGCATGAGCCACTGTGTCCCACCAAGGTTTTGACAAGAGCTTTCCAGCTGTAGAATGGAAAACCTATAGAGATTTTAAAGAGATTATGCCAAAAGAAATTGGTGATAGTGGTAGAAAATCTTTCAGTTAAACATTGAAGCGTTCCATATTTAAAAAAAAAAAAAAAAAAAGAAATAATCTAGTTGAAAGGAAATGGCTAATTATACAGAAGAGAAAATAGATAGTTGAGCATGTTTTATAACAGACTAGTACTGTCTTTAGATTTGGGTAAGGGATCTCTGTTTACTTGGCCCTCCTCTTGCTGTAAAGGACAAGGAGTCCATGAGGTCAGGGGCCATGCCTGCTTGGAGCTTGTACTCCTCTTTCAGACTGACTAGATCTGAGGGCAGAGCTGCTGATTGTACATCACCATTTGCAGGGGGTGGGGAATGTGGACATACAGCTGGATGTGTTGGATGCATGTATGGCCCCTTTCGGTGTGGCAGGTGAGGAAGTTGGGGATGGGAGGATGGGAGGAGAATGGGGCCAGTCCGGGGACTCTGAGAACTCTAAATTCAAACATGGACTTCCAGATCACATGAAAGCAGATCTGTCAAGGTAGTAGAATACAATAATGTAATGTAATGCCAGGAATAACAAATGCATGCAGGCGAGGGAATACCTTAATTGGGCCCTTAAGAAGTCAGATATGCATGCTAGAGATCAGAGAATGAGTGGTGCAAGTTTCCAGGCACTACATAAATGTATGTTAGAGACACTTTTCTAGAACAGGAGGATTAACAATTAAAAAATGAATTTAATTGTAATAGTTTCAGTGTGATTTTGAAAAGCTTCTTGAATGTGGCATGAGTTGAGTGTGGAAGGGACCTTAATGATCATGTAATCAAATTTACTCACTTAACAGGTAAGAAAACAGAGGTCCTGACAAGTGAAGCAGTCTAAGGTTACAAAACTAGTGTGTTAGCAGATGATTTCCAGCCTAATCAGTCTACTCTCTCACCAATGCTACTTTTCTTGAAGACATCTGCTGCCAGTCAGTTCCAATTAGAAAGTTTTCACTGTTACATATTAAATACTTTTATTACTTAGAAAATTTTGAGGCACCTAAAAATAAGTCCATATACCAATATTAAATGTTGACTCCAAAACATTCTTTTTTTTTTTTTTTTTGAGATGGCATCTCACTCTGTCGCCCAGGCTGGAGTGTAGTGGCCGCGATCTCCGCTCACTGCAACCTCCTGTGTCAAGTGATTCTCTTGCCTCAGCCTCCCGAGTAGCCGGGACTACAGGCATGCACCACCACACCTGGCTAATTTTTTTGTATTTTTAGTAGAGACAGGGTTTCACCATGTTGGTCAGGCTGGTTTCAAAATCCGGACCTCAGGTGAGCCATTCACCACAGCCTCCCAAAGTGCTGGGATTACAGGTGTGAGTCACCGTGCCCGGCAAAACAAAACAAAACAAAAGAACAAAAAAAAAACTTAATAAAATAAAAGAGAAACAAAAATTTCCACCTTCCTGAGGTCACAAAAATGGATATTTCTGAAAGGTTACTTTTAAATGTTTCCAGAAAGTAACAGGCAATTTAGGACTGGGTAAGGCCTGATAACAGTGCATTATAGTGTAATACAGTGCAAGGAGTAACAAATTCATTTCTGAGTCTTAGGACTTACATCCTCTCACTGGTCCTCTCCGGACTTAACTACTTTTATTTTTCCATCTATTTCTTTGACTTTCTGATTTCATGTGAGATCTATGAGTTAAATTAGAGTCATGTTCTTTGCTGTGGTTACAACTGTAATCCATCTCCTTACATTTCTTATCTTCTAAGCTAAAACCTAGCTCCCCAAATTGCTTATCTTCGAAGCAAAAATCAAAGCACATGGTTACAAAACATCAAAAACGCAGTGTGCTTACTAAATGCCAAAATACAGAAACCTAACAAAAATTCTTGCTTTTCAAACATCTATAAATAATTGCCAACGATTTTTTCTTGGCAAGTCTGTTATAATAATTACAATCAAATTTAAATCTTAAGGCAGGGCACGGTAGCTCACGCCTGTAATCCCAGCACTTTAGGAAGCCGAGGCGGGCGGATCGCCTGAAGTCAGGAGTTCAGGTCCAGCTTGGCCAACATGGTGAAACCTCAACTCTACTAAAAATACAAAAATTAGCCGGGCATGGTGTCGGGTGCCTGTAGTCCCTGTTACTCAGGAGGCTGAGACAGGAGAAACGCTTGAATCGGGAGGCGGAGGTTGCAGTGAGCCGAGATCGCGCCACTGCACTCCAGCCTGGGTGACACAGCGAAACTCTGTCTCAATAAATAAATAAATAAATAAACATTAAAATCTTAAGGGTCTAGTCACAACAGTTCAAAAAGTATCCGAACCCAGGGAGACTCTTACCTTCAAGGTCGGAAGTAATCTTAAAGTTCTAGACTTGCCGGAAGTTATCTCCCACAAGGGATTAAAGCACATGATCTAGCAATAGTAACATACCTTGTCACCACACCAAATGATTTTGAGTACCTCCCATCAATCGGCTACCGACTAACAAAAGGAAAGACTTGATTCCCGTCTTATTTTTCTCTTCTGAACTGAGCATCCCTGAAATCTAGCTTTCTGAACGCACAGATTCACCCCAGAAAAAATGGAAGGGAAAGTGCTACAAGTTAAAACAGTCTTCGTGGTAGCAGAGACGATCGCTACCGCGGCCATGGCAGATCTGGGGGTCCGGGGCAGGAGTTCTTGATATCCGCGGGGCACCCGAGTTCACGCTGGCGACAGTGGAAAGTCCTCCCCGCGCAGTGCTCCACCACTAGCCGCACCCCGCGGAGCTCTGACCTCCGAAGAGGGTCCGTTTGGCAATCCCGCCTCTTCGTCTGATGTCTGTGGCTTTGATTGGCTCTCACGTGGATCCCTCAGCGTGGCTCGCCCAATGAAGGTTTCGGCCGGTGGCCCGACCGCTCCGCCCCTTCCCTACCCCTCGCGGAGGGCCCGCCCCCTGCCCCGCGCCGGCGAGCGGAGGAGAGTAAATACAACAGGAGCGCAAAATGGCGGAACCGCCGAGCCCCGTTCACGGTGTCGCTGCCGCCGCCCCCACCGCCACCGTCTCGGAGAAAGAACCGTTCGGCAAGCTGCAGCCCTCCTCCCGGGACCCTCCGGGTCCTCTGTCCACCAAGAAGGTCCGGACTGAGGAGAAGAAGGCACCGCGGAGAGTCAACGGAGAAGGGGGCAGCGGCGGGAACAGCAGGCAGCTGCAGCCGCCGGCTGCACCTTCGCCTCAGAGCTATGGCAGCCCAGCGTCTTGGAGCTTTGCCGCTCTGTCTGCTGCTCCCTCCCCATCCTCTTCTCGGAGCAGTTTCTCTTTCTCCGCTGGCACGGCGGTTCCCTCAGGCTCCGCTTCCTTGTCTCAGCCGGTGCCGCGCAAACTGCTGGTCCCTCCTACGCTGCTGCACGCTCAGCCTCACCATCTCCTCTTGCCCGCCGCCGCCGCCGCCGCCTCGGCCAACGCCAAGTCGCGCAGACCTAAGGAGAAGCGGGAGAAGGAGAAGAGGAGGCACGGGCTTGGCGGGGCCGGAGAGGCCGGCGGGACCACCCGGGAGGAGAACGGGGAGGTGAAGCCGCTGCCGCGAGGTGGGTGCCGGACGGGGAGGGGGAGGGGAGGGCGCCACGGGTCCCCGCCGCCCCCTGGCGCCTGCGGGGCCGGGGAAGGGGGAGTGCGGCGGCCGCGTGCGCCAGCCTGGACCGGGTGGGAGGCGTTCGGTTTTCGGGAGAGAATTTTGCAGTTCCCAAGGGGACAGGAAATGGAGCCTGTAATTTTCGGTTGCAGGGAGGGGGATGGCCGATACTTTTATTATCTGTGTCGTTTCTTCCTCCCAGTTAGTGCGCTGCATGATTTGTAAAAATCGATCTTGAGGACTCCCCTGTGTGTGTGTGTTTGGCTAGGGAGATGGAGAGAACGGGATGGGGGAAGGGTTTGGTCTTGTAAAAGATGCTTGATTGATTGATAGACCATTTAGACGTGGTCTCGGGAATTCGTATTTGTGACACAGGCTTCAACTCCAGATAATCCTGTCAAAAAGAGGGTGTGGAGGGCATTGGCGTCAGCTGGAAGTTACCAGAGGCCTGAGCGTTTCATCCCTATTAGGGAAATGAGGTAGCATGCAGGGCCCGAAGTGCGCTGTTTCGTAAGGTACCCTCCCTGCACCCTACTCTCCGCTGCGTATTCTTAAGTGTTTTGGGTGGTCCTGTTTGAAATACCACCTTTCAGAAAGAATTTTCAGCCATATTTTTCTTTTCCTGCAGCAAATGATAAAACCAGGAGCTTTGACGATTTTTGCCTACATCAAGCGGCTGCAGAATGTTTGAACGTTAGAAAAAGGCAAATTCTTAAGCCTTCTTGTCAAACAGGGTCAGTTTTGTTTTTTAAAACAAACAAAACTAGGCGAGTCGTGTAATTTTTCACATAGTGTTTCTTTAAAACAGGTGTTTCTACCACTTCAGCTACGGATACACAATGATCTGACAATAGTGCAACATGCAGACTGGTTGAAAATCAAATCTTTATGTGATTGCAAGCGTAAAGCGCATAACCTTTATTATAAATGTGCACTGCTACACAATGTTGTCAAATAAACTCTTTTTGTTTTTTAGAAAAAAATGAAATGTCAAGCAGTTTTAGGATTGCTGATCTAACAGTAGCTTAGATCATGAAAAATTCTCTGTTAGAATTAGAATGGTTTTCACAACTTAAAACATGCCGCATATGCGTGTAGCAATAGTGCCACTTCTTCCTTGATGTTTTTTACCTGTAGCAAAGCTATGACATCTAAGCATAGCCATCAGGGACTCTGGTGCAATGTAAAGATCTGTCGGCTTTCGGGAGTGTTGCTTGTAGGAAACTGACTTTTGAGGATGGGATTTTTGTTACTTTTATTCAGGAATTTTAGTTGGTTAGTATTTTAAAACTATTTTGTCATAACGATTATATGTAAAATTTAGGGTGTAAGTGCCTGGAAGTCCGTCCATATGCAGCTTGGGATCATCAGTACTATTCGTGGTGTGTAAACTGTACATTTGCTTTAAGTTATCTGAAGAGGAAGTGAATATGAATATTACATAGTTGGAGGAATGGAATAGCTGAGAAGAAATAAGTAAGCATTCTTTTTTTTTTTTTTTTTGAGATGGAATTTCAGGCTGGAGTGCAATGGCACGATCTCGGCTCACCACAACCTCCGCCTCCTGGGTTCAGGCAGTTCTCGTGCCTCAGCCTCCTGAGTAGCTGGGATTACAGGCATGCACCACCATGCCCAGCTAATTTTTTGTATTTTTAGTAGAGATGGGGTTTCACCATGTTGACCAGGATGGTCTCGATCTCTTGACCTCGTGATCCACCCGCCTCAGCCTCCCACAGTGCTGGGATTACAGGCGTGAGCCACCGAGCCCGGCCAAGTAAGCATTCTAACAATTTTGACTTAAAATGTGGAATACACAAATAATCCTTAAAGAGAAATTTTTGTAGATTTTTCAATTACGTTTGGAATCTTTCTTTTGATGGTTAACACTAATATTACTAATCCAGAATATAAACTGATCACTTTTACATTAAGATTTGGGAATGATCTTTTCCCATGACCTGTGTGGGTTTTTTGGAGTAGTGACAAGATACCAGCACTACTCTAAGATTTTCATTTTTTCAGACAGGAATGCTATCTCACTGAGGAAAAACTATCAGAGAAACAGATTGCTCTTCAGTGTCTTGGTGGTAAATTTAATGGTGAAAATTTTTCCCTTATAACTTGGGGAATACTTACATCTTTCTAAAGTTGAGATTTAACTGAATTTGAGGTTCTGTTTTAACCAATTAAGATTCTTAAATAGTGGTATTAACAAGTGGTGTAGCAAGAATACATATATGCCTTTATTATAGATATAACTGTAAATATGAAAGTCCTAATTTGCAATACAATGCTAATTTCTCTGTGCTTTTTGTAAAAATCTTAGTGAATGGGTGACCAAGTGTCTGTTTAGGTATATACCTCTTTTTAGTGTTGCTCTAAATTGGCTGTGCATAGTTCAGTAACCCCTCAATTGTCGACAGCTGGCTGCTTGAACAGCCTAAGTCAGAACCAGAAGTAGCTATAAAGACACCTAAACAAGGAAAAGAAATTCTCCCTCAATGAAACAAAACTGAACCACACACACCCAAATGACCTAGCCTGCATCCCAACTTGATTAAACAATTAAACTCGTATATTTATTTATAATAGGACTTTTTAAAGTAAGTCCTAAGTTAGAACTGCTTTGTTTTTACATTGGTGACCATTCTAACAATGTATTTGGATTAAATGAAAGCATGTATATGAAAGGGCCTAGCAGGGCCTTTAGTAAATGTTATTTGAGTCTGAAACAAAGTTAATAATTTTTTTTTTTTTTGAGATGGAGTTTCGCTCTTGTTACCCAGGCTGGAATGCAATGGCGCGATCTCCGCTCACGGCAACCTCCGCCTCCTGGGTTCAGGCAATTCTCCTGCCTCAGCCTCCTGAGTAGCTGGGATTACAGGCACACGCCACCATGCCCAGCTAATTTTTAGTATTTTTAGTAGAGACGGGGTTTCACCATGTTGACCAGGATGGTCTCGATCTCTTGACCTCGTGATCCACCCACCTCGGCCTCCCAAAGTGCTGGGATTACAGGCTTGAGCCACCGTGCCCGGCCAAAGTTAATAATTATTTTAACCCTATAACTAATTAAAAGATGGGTGAATCCTGATACAGGAAGGATTATTGACAGATTTGGAAGTTGAGTATAATGAACAAGAGAATTATGAAAGTTTACTAGTGTAGGCCCATTTTGTACCAGGGCTTGATGCCTTATACACCCACAGTCTCTTAAGGCCATCTAGTCATAAGTCATAATGCTATAGCTGACTTGCATGATAGCTTGACTCACCAAGTAAAAGTTAAATTTCTATATAAAAAAGGAAAACTGCAAAACATTTTAGATTTTTAAAACCAGAAAAAAACCTGATTTTAGTGTTTATAGAGGTAATTTACTGAAGAATTAATAATAAATTTTCCTGTAAGACTGAGTAAATTGTGGAATTGGGAAGTGTAGAAAGTAAAAGTGAACATATACTGAGGGTACCCAAAATTTAGAATTATTTTATGGCAAACAACACAACAAATATTTCGTTAGATATCAATGTGCCTTCACGGAATTCAGTAACCAATAAAATCTGTATAGACTTTTTAACTTTTGTTAGTATTGTTGCTTTGTATTTGTTAACTTACTTTTTTTCCTTAAAATGACCCTGTGAAGTGTTTCAAGACAAAACCAGAACATTTCATTGAATTTTTGCCTTGAAAGTTTAGTTGCAGAATTTAACTGTAATGAAAATAGTAGCTTTTCTTAGAATCAAATAATTTGAGGTATACAAATATGAGTGATTTCAAAGGGATGAGTGTCTGAAGATTTTTCTAAATATACTCTCCTCCAGTATTGTTACTGTACAATATTAGGTTAAATTTATATTCAGAGTTTTTATCATATGAGTAAGTATTTGTCTCTGGTGAGGGAATAATTTACTATGATTTTATTTTCTTGTTGTAACCTTTTGTTTTTCATGTCTCTTTTTTTTGTTTGCTTAGTTTTCTCTGGCAAAGTCTTTCTGAACCCTACAGCAGCTCAGTGAAATGCTTCTCAGTACAATTTTCCACATGAGCAAATCTATCAGATAAACTTACCTGTTCCATTTGTTGCTGTAGACATCCCTTTTGGGGCCAGGTGCTATGGCTCATGCCTGTAATCCGGGCACTTGGGAGGCAGAGGTGGGCAGATCACTTGAGCTCAGGAGTTCAAGACCAGCCTGACCAACAAGGTGAAACTCGGTCTCTACTAAAGATGTAAAAAATTAGATGGGCATGGCAGCATGCGCCTGTAGTCCCAGCTACTCAGGAGGCTGAGGCAGGAGAATAGCTTGAACCTGGGAGGTGGAGGTTGCAGTGATCCAAGATTGTGTCACTGTACTCCAGCCTGGGTGACAGAGAGAGACTCCGGCTCAAAAACAACAACAACAAACCAAGACATCCCTTCTGTAGCTGTCCTTACTTCTTCAGTCTGGGTTTCTTCACCTTTGGACTTTACTTAGCTGACATTCTGGGAATTTTTTAAACTTGTATTTTATTTTTCCGGGATGTCATGCCTTCCTTTTGGTTTCTTCCTTCATTTTGGTTTCCTCTACTACTAGTACTACATAAGGATTCGTGGGAAGTATATGTTTTTTGGATTTTATTTTTATCCTAAATTTTACTTGACTGGCAGTTTAGAGATTTCTGCATTGGAAATAATTTTCCCTCAAAAGTTTGAAGGTAGTGTTCCATTATTGCCTGGTTCTCAAAGTAGATCTTAAGAAGTCTGATCTCCAAAAAGTTGTCTATTCTTTCTGGGGAATTTCAATCCTTTCACTATATTTTGTAATTTATATATTTTTTCTTTTTCTTCACGTCTCAGTCTTCTGAACTTTGATTGAGTTTTATTTTATTTTATTTTTTGAGATAGAGTTTCGCTCTTATTGCTCAGGCTGGAGAGCAATGGCACAATCTCAGCTCACCGCAACCTCTACCTTCTGAGTT